AGTTGTGATTTTTTTCCTTCCTTCCCCAAAAAAAAAAAAAAAGAAAAGAAAAGAAATGTTCTCTTAAACAAATTTTCACAATGATGTTGAAAAGAATGTGTCAAAATCAGTATGCTTCCGTTTACATTTTGTTTCTATGTAACTGCCATTTTTCTCATGGAAAACAATTTTCTGTTAGAGAATTTCCTAGCAACTGTAACAGTCATTCGCGATGACGTTAATCCTGAAATGCTCTGTCACAATCAGGGAGTCCTCAGCCTACCTGGTTGCCCTTTCAGTGGATTGAATCTGGCAAGTGTTGAGTACTTGTGTCTTGATTCTGAAAAACATGTGCTTATCTTTGAAGCATGTGGGCAGTTAGATTAGATTGACTTCAAAAGGAATTCACCAAGGACACTTACGGGTCTGAAGTTAAACAGTGGTGCAAGTGTTTTGCTGCTTCAGGAGGGGAATGGTAGGCATTCAGAAATGTCTCAAACCTAGCATTTTGTTTCTGCATAACTGCATGCCAAGGACACCCGTTGGTCTCTGTTTTAAAACAAAGCAGTAAGTGAAACAAACCCTGTTGGAGAGTGTTTGAGAACTAGAGGTGCATGTTGCAAATATTGTGCAGAAAAGGAACCATGGTTTGAAGGAGATAACAGGTGGAGTTGGAGCAGGGGAGTGAGTAGATCACAGAATAAAAATATGTGATCATGCATCAATGAACTAGACACCAAAAACGTCTTTGCCCAAGGCACATATACCTCAGCCAGCCTCGCTGAGAACAGGCCATTGATGACTTTGAAGAAAAATAGCCCACTCAAAACCAGGACTAGCTTAAGTGATGAATTGCACATATTCATCACGCAGCTCTCTCTGAAGCTCTATAGACTGTCTTATAGGGGCTCAAAAGTAATTTAAAGAAGTTTACATATGGTTTGAGAACCACAGGCTAAGCATTGCTGCTTCGGTCAATACCACAAGAGCTTCCACTGAATTACAGAGCAAAACAGAACACTTTACTTCAGTTGTTAACATCAGTGCAAATGAAAGTTGCTATTAATCTAGGTGTGTTTCTCCTCTGTTGTGGTTGTTTTCTACATTCTTGTGAGAAGCTCTTAAGATACAAGAGTATACACAACCTCAGTGTAGGTGACTACTGCGCTGTGAGGATGGGATTCATTTCTCAGTTATTTTCTCTTTAGCATCCTAAATTGAGTGTAAATGTTTTGTCACTAATAATCATACTGCTGTGAAAATACTGTCCACAGCACACCAGCATAATTTACAGACCAGCTTTAAAATTCAGTAAAATGGCTCTATATTATAACATTTCTTTTAATATTTTAGACGTCTGATACACCATTTTTCCTTGCTTGTGTTTCGTTGAGGGGGTTTAAAATTAGTTCAAAAAGATAGATAAGATTTCAAATGTGTGGGCAAATGTGTATTTCAGTAAGTCTCAAGATTTCCTGATACCGATACTTTCTGTCCAGAAGGGCAAACAGTAGAAAAGAATAAATCTCAAGATTTCCTGATACCGATATTTTCTGTCCAGAAGGGCAAACAGTAGAAAAGAAAAGAAAAGAAGAATTAGTAAGGATAGGGTTTCTATTTAGTCTTAAACCACCAGCCGTATTCTATACATTCCAGACTCAGATTCTGTAAACCTTCAAACACACGTATTAAGAATCATCAAGGATTTACTGAAGTTCTAGAATTAGACTCTGCAAGTTGGGAAAAGCTTGCACAGCAGGTTTCTTAGTTGCCCCTCTATCTTTTAACCTGAAGTTTACTTAGTTTTCCACTATATCATACTATGCCACTGGGAAGAGGAGCCCAGGTCCCAGAAATAGCTACCACATGGGCAGTCAAATGAAGCGACTGGCTCACCAAAATGTCTTTGTTCTGAAGGTAATGTAGAAGTGTCCTTGAGCGAGAACATTTCCAAGTGACTCGTGTTTGGAGTAGGCCTTCCTACGGAATGCTGACAAAATGACATGATGGTCTACAGGTAAAGGTTGCAAAGAGCTTTGTGGGCCTAAAGATTTCTCAGGATCTGCCACCCTAAAATTCTCATTTGGAACTGTATATGTCTATTATGAAAGCCCATCGCGGTTCGTAAGGACGGGTCAGGAAGATGGTTAAAAAAAAGCAGTGGCATAGTCTACCTAAGCAGACAGCAGTATCATCCCCTTAATGATTGCACAGATGGTGCTCCCCACGCAGCATTTATTTGATGTGGTGACACCTGAAACATTTGATAATTTATTGCCATTCAAAAGTTTCCAAGATTTGAACGGAAAAAAGGATAACTTTGTGTTAGGAATTTATGCAAGAAGAATAAGAATCCCTATTTCATCCAGTTCTGCTCAGATCAATACCGTATTACCTCAGTAGGCTAAGGTTTAAATGTTGTGCAAAAATATTCAATACCTCATTGTGTCATATTCTGCAAGTTTTAACTCTTGTGTCTACACAGCTAGCAAGGGGAATAGTACTCTAACAGCAGGGACAATCTGTAGAAGACTGAAATGCAGAATCACTAAATATGTCTTAAAAATTATAAACCAGTGAGTCATGGGGAATCTTAAAGCCTGTCTGCTTTAAACAAAGTTCTCTTCTGTTTGTCATTTCAAAGAGGCTTCCCTACAGGAAATGGGAGGAGGGAGACTCAGCGTGCCATAACATGGTGGCCTTATCCTCCCTATTTTCTTGCAGTTCAGAGCAACATCAGCAGCTATAATGTTGAAAGGCCATCACGGCAAAAGCAGGATCAGAGTTGTTTGCACATAGAAAATGCAAAGAAAAAAAAAAAAACTGCAGCAATTGGAGTGGGGGCATTATTTTGTGTTTTTAAAAAGCTGCTAATGTTAACAGTCTAAAACAACTTTCTCACTCCAAATAATAAAGCGGTAAAGCTTTAATTATTTCTAGGACAAGGAAGAATTCAAGTTATATCCTCTATAGGGCGTTTCATTCTATCAATACTGCACTGGACAACCTTGGTGGAAAAGGGCTGAACTGGCAATTATTTTAAATGCCATGGTATTGCCAAGGCAACTGAAGACTCACTATGGCCAGAATATGGATAGAAAAGCACATGCTGGCAGCAAGAGCTATAACATCTGAGCTCCCTCTTTCTGGCAGCTCTGGGGCTTTACAGAAATGTGTAGCTTACATAATAAAGTTATTCCAAGCTGTTTTAAAAGAGTTCTGTTTTACTTGTCGGAAAATACCAATAAATTACTACAAAATTATGTTAGTTGAGGATTTTCTTTGAACTGTGAATAATTAGGATATATAAACATTTTATATTTTAAACTGAAAGTGAAATGGACTTCCTAGAGAAATGACAAGGTGTTAATTTAAGCCTGGAAAGCCAGTGGTGTAAGCATTAGAATGACATCTTATGATTATTTTCGTGATTGACTCCGTGGGTGGGTTGTAACATTGCCTTTTCTTATTGTTTGTAAGCACAGATGTACTACTGTTCAACAGCCTAGGGACCTATCTGTCGGGAATGCTCAAGTGCTAGAAGGCCACGTATGTTGGTTGTGAATTGAGTAGCTTAATCAAGGAAAAAGATTATCTCGTTGCACAGGAAATCCAGAAAAATATCGTGAGCTGGTTTATACATTATTAACACTGAGCAAGCTCATACATGTGTGTATGTGCCTGTGTTCTGTGACATGGAGATATACCTAAGACATCCTTTGCTCTTTTGAAAAGATTAAAATTTTACTCTTGAATTCTTTTACAGTATTCTTTAATATTGAGTATATGGGCAAAAGATCCATGAGGGTGTGCTGAAAACCTAAATAGGAGAGGATAAAAAGTCATCAGTCATAGCCTCAATATGAGTGCAAAAATGTTTATCTAAGTTCTCTATAAAAATAACAGATTATCTGCAGTATTGAGCATAAAACCTGGAAGGTGCTGTTTGAACTCCTAGTCCCAGAGCATCTTGTAGACTGGGTGGGCAAATCAGGGCATTTAGATGTCCTTGGCATAAATAGGTGCTTCGATCACACTTTGGAAAGTACTTTTAGTATTTTGTACGTGTAATTTTGTGCATTGTTGCCCTCTCTGCACACTTTAAAGGACATTTTTTGAAATCCTGATTCTTTACATTTTCAGAGGTTTATGGAGAGCTATCTGGAACATTTTAGAAGTAAGATTACTAGAGTAGGATAAGCAATTTATTGTTCACTGCTAAGTTATTGATGAGATTGTGATTTTGAGCTGTTATAGAGGTTCACTGTTTCCTGCTAGGTTATTGTAGTGGCATCTATTGTAGTAGAACTGGTAGTTTACCATTATATCCTGTCTTTTTGCAGTTGGCCCGCACATAGGGCGTTATTGTGGGCAGAACAACCCAGGACGTGTCCGGTCTTCAACAGGGATTCTTTCAATGGTATTTTACACCGACAGTGCAATAGCAAAAGAGGGATTCTCAGCAAACTACAGCGTGTCACAGAGCAGTGTATCCGAAGGTCAGTATTTATCTATCCTACAGAGCTTCTTGGAAAATATTCTCTGTTATGTCTTCTTGCACACCAGGTGTTGCATGAAACTTTAAAGAAACCTTAAATAAATAAGATGGTGGGTAAGGGTTGGTTCTGTTTTGCCTTTTTTTTTTAAAGAGCAGCTGCCCTTTGAAAAGCAGCGCAAGAAGCAGGATTCTCCTCTACGATTTTATTCCACAGTATTGCCAGGAAGTTGGGATAATTATTGTGAAAAACTGTGCTGACCAAGGAAACGCAGGAAATTGCTTTAAAACAATGAAACATGAACAATGAATGCACTATCCAAAGCCTTCTTTTATTACATGGAATAAGCTTTGATGATCGATTTCTTGAATAAAAAGAACCCATTTAATATATGTGCTCTTGTTAAAGCATTTCATAAGCTATCTAAGCTTTGTTCTCTGTCTCGTATTTTTTTCCCAATTGCCTCATTTTCATGCTTACCCTCTGGACAGAGAAAGAAACAAAGTGAGGGAGACACAGGAAAATAGCAGGCTGTGTTATACCATGTCCTTGCAGATTTCCCTGCTTTGGTCAATGATTAAACAGGCACTTTAAATCAAACTCTCTCTCCTTTCTGCGACTTACTGAGTTTTGAGCAAATTCGCCCAGATTTGATGTATTTGTTTAGTCAAAGAAGGAACAAAAGAAAAATCAGTGAACTGCAATTATCCCTGTTACTCCCCACCTCTCCTCTGCCCTTTGCCTTTTTAATAGCTTTCTTATACAGGCATAGCCAGGAAGAGGGAATGGGACATACCCCAGCCTCTGTGGATGGGAAGCATCCTCCTCCATCTCTCTCAGACTGTACCTCCAACTAGTTTGGCTTCTCCTTATGTAGGCGCTGCTCCTACCCCTTCATTAGCTAGCACAGCCAACTCAGGTCCCCATGTCCACCTCCTCCACGGTCATCCTCCCTGAGGCATCATCACACTGGAGCCAGAATTAATATCTGCTATGGTGGGATGCCCTCAGATCTTAAACACAGAACAACAGAACAGAAGTTAGTGTGTGTGAAAACCCTTTTGGATGATAAGAGGAAACATTTTCTATGATGCAGGCTTAGACAGAGGAGTGATTCCTCCCACTTAATTTCAACCACCCTTGCTCTTTGTGTTGTCACTACAGAGAGGGTCACCTCCAGAGAACAACTCAGCCTACTTACTCAGACACGTGAGATGGCCCGAGGAGGTACTTGTCCCTCTCAGTAGACTGCAGGGAAAGACCACATGTCTAGATCAAACTAGACAACTACCTTTTAGATATTTTAATACGATTCCCACCTACCATGTCTTGAGTTCTTTGTAGTGGCTTATGGCTCTTGAGTCTTATCCTAAAGCAGTTCAGTTTCAGTACTTCACCCAAGGCCCCTAATATATTGAAGACACACAGAGATGGGGGAAAGGATGGCACGCCATGGGACATGCAGTTTGGCAACAAGTTTAATAACTCAGTTATGAGGCACCCTAACTACAACTCCTATAAAGTACCCTGATAGCATTTCTGAATATAAGTTTTTAGATCCCAGATAAAAGTTTTTCAACATTTTTTTCCAGAATATTTTAATTTTCATTGAAAAATGAGAACTTTGCTTATTAAAAGCTCATTTTTCCAACTCATAGATTTTGAAACCTTCAGCTCAGCACCTTAGTCTCTGAAGGTTTCAGCTGATTCTATAGTATCTTGGTAATTTTTGTGTCAACAAAAAGAGATCAGATAGAGATGATCAACTTATTTAAAATGCAGCACATTATAGAAGAGGCGGTAATTCCCCTAGGTCAATACTCTTCTGGCCTGGATTCAAATTTTGTTGATCTGTTTCTTTCCAGTGTTCAGGATCAAAAGAAAATGGCTAGAATTTTAATAATATTTTTTTAACATTATATACTTTTTGTACTGGAGTAAACAGTTTTAAAATAAAATTGTTTTATACGGTCATCTGGTTTGTCTTTCCTGGCTTTGTGCATAATTATGAGTTGAACATACGTTGTTTTATACTACGAAACCACAGAAGTGCCTGTGCTACCCTAGAAAAGAGAATTCTATTGTCCTATATTGAAATGGCTAGAATATTGGGCTAAAAATATTTGTATAGCATTATTATTGCAGGAATTGCCATGGCAACTCAAGTGACAGTATTAAGAATGACACCATAAGCCCAATACTGCCTCACTTGAAGTTGCTAAAGAATTCAAAGTCACATAAAAATAAATTATTTATATATTCATATTCAAAGCAGGAAAATGTTCTCATTATTCAAAGTCTAAATCAAAAAGCTGACCATAATAACGATGGTAATTTATTTTTCTTCAGATTTCCAGTGCATGGAACCACTAGGTATGGAGTCAGGAGAAATTCACTCTGATCAAATCACTGTCTCCTCGCAGTACAGCGCTATCTGGTCTTCAGAAAGGTCCCGGCTAAATTACCCTGAGAACGGGTGGACCCCAGGGGAAGATTCTAGCAGAGAATGGATACAGGTAAAAAGATAATGTTTTAAAGATATTATTAATAATATTCTGAGGAGTTTATTGAGTGTGGAGAGTGCAAAAGAAAGAAAAAAAATAACACAGTAAAGTACTTCTAGATAATCTAAGAATCATTGCAAGTGAATAGCTCACATTCCCTATTAGACACCAAAAAAAAAGACTGACTCCCAAAGGTATAAAAAAAGAAAAGGTCAGGAAGATTAATTCTTCTGCTTCCCACGTCTATTGTTTTTTCAGTCTTCTGGGCACAAATAACAGAGATTTTGGTTTAGTGGAAAAGTCAATATTAGTTTAACATGCACTTAAAGTGGAATGTCCCAGTAAACTGAGCATGTGCTATGTCTCTAGCTGATTGCAGTTAAGCATTAATACGGCATGGTGTTTTTATGCACTCAGATTTCACCTCAGAAGACCTATGTCCCTTCTAGAATATGCTACATACAAAATGAGTTTAGCATTCTCTGTCTAGTGGCTATTCTTCCATGTACATTAACACAACATTCATTAGCAAGATTGCTTTGGCTCTGCTCTGTTAATACAGGAGAAAACCTGCAAATGTTTGACCCCACGAAGAGAATCCTTGAGTTCGGTTAGTCTATTTAGGCTTGTTTGGTAGTCGTCATCAGGTCCATAGCTTAATTGCACATGATTCCTGAACAGGTCAGAATTATTTGTATGAATTACTGTATACAAATAATCCATACTAGCAGGCAAGTATTAATATCATAGGTGAAAAAAATACTGATTTGTCTCAACTGTAGGTTGACTTACACTTCTTAGTTGCGATCTAGATTCTATTTATGTTGGCAAAAGCTAAGAGAAAGACTTGAGCATATTAGATCAATATTACTAATATTGAAAACTTGTTCATATATTTGAAACATTCCTCCTGCTTCTTTTATTTTCTATAGGAAATTACTAACTGACATATGAAAACAATGCCTTATTAGCCATCCACATGAATGTTCACACTGATGTTTCCTGTGAGGTTTGCTGTCTGCAAGAAAGCTTAAAAACATGTTGAGTAGTAGTTAGTAAAGGGAAGAAAGAGGGGAAAATCTTCCATTTCTGATCCTTCGCACACAATGGGGATCTCAGGTGTACTGCTTAGGGGCCCCTACACATCCTGAGCTCTTGGCAAATTAGTAATCGTGTACAATAGTCCTAATCAGACTTCAGAGTGGCAAAAAAAAAATCTGCGGATCCTTTTCCCTTACTTAGGAATAAATGTTAAAATCTCCCCAGCCTTATCTGAGTGCAAGCCTTGTTATTAATCATTGCTACTTGCAATTTGTGGAATGCACATGGAAAAAGCGTGGAATGCATCAGAATCAAATTCCATATGCTTCATCTGGTTGGAGGGCCACCACTTTTTCTTTATTTCCTTCTTTTCTGCTGTCACTTACATATTTATGACTGGATAATCAAAACAAGAGAACTAGTTAAATCTCATTCATGTGTTCTGTGTGCTTATTAATTTTGTTAAGTAATGATGAATACGTACATACACATATAGATTAATCCTTTCACTTAGAACTAGATCTTTCTGAGAAAAAGTTTCAAAGGACTTTTTTTAACCATTAACTGTTTTAATAACAAGCACATAACAGAATCCAAGCTACTCGGGGGTTTATGCTTAAAACAGCTCAGGGTATCTCAGGCCTCCTGCCTATGAATTTCTCAGCCTCCTTTGCTTCTGCCATAAACCAGGATTCTCAGGTGCTGAAACAACCCCTGAGCATAATTTTTAGCAGCTTTACACTGCCTCCAGCTACGACATCAGCCAAGAAGCTGGTGGTTATTTGTATGCTGTACTGCTCACACCACAGCTCTCACCTCTTTCACCTAGCCCCTGGTTTGGAAAAGGCAGCATGAACCCTTTCCCTGAGCAGTCTAGCCCTAGGGCATCTCCTCCACTGCCCAGGGCCCATGTTGAGAGACCAGCACTCCCAAGGCAGACTTCATGACGAGCTGTATCAGCCTTCATGCAGAGCTGGGTCTTGTTTGCAAGACTGGGCCTACAAAGTCTTGTTTGAAGATTCATTGCATTGAATAGACGTGGTTAACACATGTTGCAGAACTGTTAATCTTTCTACCACTCAACCTATGCAGCAGAAGGAACTGAGCTAGTTTGGAGACTGACTATGCCATCCTATGGCTTTTCACAAGGTACAACAGTTTAACTCATCTTTGGTTCCATTTGTGTCAGGAGAATATTAATTCTTATTTATTACGGTTTAATTCAATACTAACATTGCTAATTCAAACTTCCAAATGCTTTCCTGTTAAACTTAATTGACAGTCTTGAGACGGGTGCTAAGCTCTTCAGACCATCAGGCACCTCAATAACAGGGTCCCTGCACGTGTGAACTGCGATCTTCTACAAAGGCTTGATGCCATTGGCAGTAAGCACATGTTGCGAGTTTGTATCTGGATAAAATATTGAAATCCCATGTTTCCTCTGTACAAATATCCCCAGGAACAGATGTTCATCTCCGTAAGAGCCTAGAAAAAACCAAGGACACGCAACTAATAAAACACTCTGAAATCACCCGTTGAAAAAAATCATAATATTTTATAAAAGGAGAAAGACACTTGTATATGAAGGACTGAGGTCACTTTGTTCTGTTTTGTTCTGTATGTTATTGTAAACTAGTCATTTATTTGAAGTATTTGCTTTTGTGCAGTACAACATAAATGGATTTTTGTTGCATAGTGCAAGAACTCTAGAAAATTTTCAACAGCAAAAAGCAGGCTGAAAGATACAGCAATGCTGAACTTGGAACTTTTAAAGTGAAATTATGCCTATATGCCCCTGTCTGAGAGACAAAGATTTTGTGTATATCAATATTCATTAATCTTTTCATGACTGCAGGTTTACATACCTGCACACACACACTGCAGCTGGTTAAGTAGTGATATCTGCCTTCAAACTGCTGATATGCATATGCAAGGAGAGCATATATATCAGATACGTACAATCATACATGGGCGAAGCAGCTTGAAAATACAGCTCCAAATACCAGTTTCCTTAGTGTATCATTTTTTCTTGTATAGGGGAAATATTATAGTTTTCCTTTCCCTTCCTTTTACCCCTCCCTTCAAGGTTAATGTTTTTGCTAAGACAAAAGAAACAGAAAACCTCAGTTAAGTATCAGCAAGGGGAGATTGGTATCTATAGAGGACGTCTAGAGGGCATGTGATATGATTGTCTCCTTTGAGGTGTTGACGTCTTTCGGACCATTTAGCTGAAAAGAATTGGGAAAATAATGTTGGCTTGTTGTTAGTAATGGATTTGCATGAATTCCATCTGTGGCTGTGGAACCCATTCTTTGGTGGAAAAAATAGATTTCTCCTTTGTGGCTGACAAGGTACTAACTCCTGAGTTCATCTGAATGACGCCTGCTTACCGGGCTCTGCTAAGTGAAAGCTGTCTGTCCGTTCCTTTCCTTAGTTGTTTTGAAATAAATGTCAAAGCATAGATTCAAAATATCCATAGCACAGTCACACCGTAAGTCTGCACAGTATTTTATTTTTACCCTCAAACACACTTTTTAAAATTGCTTGACTGACTTGAGATTTGGAGTGACTCCATAATCAGAAACAGAGTCACTCCAGATTGAATTTCTTCTTTAAAAAAACGTTAATAAAGTCTGTGGATTTTCTAACATGAATGGAATAAAGATATGCATGAGGCATGGGCTGCCAAGAATAAGCATGAAGTTAGTTTATTGTCGTATGGGATATTAGCTCCTCAACCCTAAGCTCAGTCTACTTGTTTATTACACTTACGTTTCACACATTCGACTGCCCTTTAGTGTGCAATAGCATAATTTAAGATAAAAAATAAAAAGAGCCCTTTAATTTAATCAGGATCAGGGAACTGCCATTGCAACGCAAGTCATTGTCCCTCATTAATGTATCCTTTCACAGGAAAAATAGTATAGTGTTTCCATTTCTGTAATCTGAACAACAAACATGTTAATAGGTATCAATTACCAGCCAGTTTCAGTACTTAGAACCAGTAAGAAGGCCAGTGTGAGGGTTTCACATCTGGTTTTAGTGAAACCGTTCCTGTCTGTGGTATTTAAAATTTAAAGAACTCCTGTTATTGTGCAATTGGGAATCCTAGGGGAGTACAATGTTAATGAAATCCATAACGTGCAGGGATTTTATGATTGCATTTTCAAGGCATTCCTTCAAAAGGGACAACTGATTTCTGCCATGGCAGCAGTAATTGTGTTTTTACAGAGTAGATTTAATGTTTGCATTTAAGAACAGCAGTTACGTTTGCACTCGTCTGAAAAAGAAACATGCAAAACCTTTATATTTTGAGAACTTTCTGCATCTCATTTTTGAAGCCTTTGAGCGGGAGCCATGGGCCACTGTGCGTGGCAAGCCCTTGCTCCTCGGGGATGCCCTGACGGGTCGTGGCCAGCAGCCGCCCAGGGCAGCGCGGGAGCCGGGGAGCTCCAGGAGTTGCGCCTTGCCGGAGAGGTGCCGTCAGCTAAAGACACTTGAGACCCACGTGTGTCTGGTTTTGAAGGGAGACTGATTGCCTATTACCAGGGTCACTGGGAACCTGTGCTATCATCAATCCTCATAATGGTGTGGGTTTTCAAACCCGCGGGGAGCAACACCTTCTGGGTACTTTTACTGCGGAACCTGTATGTTCTCTATCAAAATGTTTCTTCGAATGCATATAACACAAATCTTTACACTCCCACCAAGCTGGGTGATAGTTTCTGGGTGGCATAATTTTTCTCTCATCCTGTAACACTGAGCGAGACCTCCAGCTTGCCCAGAGAGCAAAGCATGTTTGTTAATAACACAAGATCTTCAGTTCATATTATGGCTGGGGTTGGACAGAACCATAAATCCAGCTTTGAGAATCCTAGTATCAGATCAAAACTTTGCAGCCATAAACCAAGAAGCACTACTCTGGTATAAACACGCTCCGCCAGTTCAAATTTGTTCAAAAAAGGTTAACA